TTACTATAAGTTTTCGTTTGCTTTCTGATGTCTAGACATTTCGTATCGACCAGATGAGTGTCTCTCCCTCTCGCCTAACCATCTCTATCTAACGCTTTATATCGTTTGTACCAGAACCATGACCTACCTCAATCCTTCGAAATATATAGTACATATATGCAATATCGTCGATTTGCGTTTAGGTCAATAGAAAAATTCGAATTTGGTAATAGAAAATAAATTATTTTGTATGTAATATTAATTACAATAGAGTATTTTTGGAATTCAAAATATTGATTTGAAGAGTGCAGACACTAGTCTACACTAGAAATTTAGTGGTGCACAACTCCAGTAAACGAGGAAGATTTTACTTCAAAACGATACTCTCAAATTTTTTATTCTATATATATACTCTTTCTCATTTAAAACGCGTTTTTTGTTTGGTACCTTAGAAATTGTCTTTTTCATTGGAAAATCGTCTTAAAGAGGGTTCACTATATATATTAGGGTGGTCCTTAATATGGACATTTTCGAATTTCCTTGCTCCCAAGGACTCTAATGGTTCCAAATTGATAAAAAACAATTATCTGAAAGTTTTAGCTCTTAATATTGTCTTTTAGATAGAGCGCAATTCAATCAAAGATTTTTATGGAAATAGCATGAAAAAATTTTCAAAAATTTTGCAGAGCGTCGAATTTTCAATAAAAATGGCACGAATTTTCACTTTTAATTCATTTGTCGCTAAGTTATACCCAAAAATTGTTTTTTTTAATTCTCAAATATTTTCCATGCTATTTCCATACGAAATTTGATTGAATTGCGCACTATCTAAAAGTTAAATTATGAGGTAAAACTTTCAGAGAATTGTTTTTTATCAATTTGCCAAATTGAAATTGGAACTATTTGAGCCCTAGGAAGCAAGGAAATTCAAAAATGTCCATATTAAGGGCCACCCTAATATATATATATTATTTTTATATATTTTACCAAATCAATTTTTTGCCTTCGAATACAAAAAATTGAAAAATCGACTAAATAAACATTAACTAACATTGATGAATATAAATTTAAAATTTATTAATATAAATAATACCATTACTTCTGTATGTTAAACAAATTAATTACACTAATGCAATGGTATTCTTCATATTATTAATTTCTAAATTTATATTAATTAGTGTTAGTTAATTTTTAATTTAATTAGTATATTAGTACAATTTTTGGAACTTTGGAGTTTGAAACACTTATTAAGTATATCAGTTTCCTACTAATTTTTAATATATAAAATAATTTTAAAAAAATCCGTAATATAATACTGCTGTAATAATACTATAGCAATAGTATTTATTAACTTCTCGAAGGAGAAGTTTATGTTTTAATCAAAAAATCCGACTCGCTAATTTTATGTTTTCTCGACGTTTCATTCTGAATAAAATGAGACCAAATTTGGAAAAAGTATGTGTGTGTGTGTATGTGCATGTGAACAGATTTTTTTATATGTAATCATAAAGTAAATGTAAAAAAAAATATAATTTTTAGTTAGTTGAAACTTCGTTTTCAACTCATTAAAACGAATTGTTAATATTCTGGCATAATATGTAATCCACTAATTTTCTATAAACACCCGAAGACTTTCAATACTATTGTAACCTCTCTTAATCTAGCAAGACCAAATTAGCATTACTATTGTTTATATACAAATTAATTACAAATATACAAATCATTTTTAAAAAAAATCCGCTATCTTTCAAGCAAATGTAATAAAAATTTAATTTATAATATTTTGTGATCTTTTTTTGTCCAAATTTACACAAATTGCATAAATTCCATTAAGTATAAAATATGATATCTACCAATTTTCTATTATCTCAAAAAACTCTCATTTTGCCGGGAACAATCGGCCCGTAGGCAAAAACATGCCATTGGTCTAAAAATCGGGAACAAATGCATGTTCCTGTAGGAGGGGTGCGTCAAATAGGGATGACTGAACTTTTGACGGGTAAACACCCTTGAATGCACTCCAACTGCATTGGGACAACATGGCCGAAATGAGAAATGTACTCGAAACGAGGAAATAATGTATATATATATATATATATATATATATATATATATATTTATATATATATATACTTGAAATGTTTATTTGCAACCAGATAATCAATATAAAAAACAATAAATAAATATCTTTTTATTATGTACGTTTCGGAACCTATATGCGTGTCATCATTCAGCATGTTTAACAACAAATTCAAATCATACACATTTTTTAAAGAAATTGCTTCATGAGAAAATAAAATAATAGACTAAAAGTTAAATAATAAATGTATGTGGTATGGTGAAGTATAGTGGACTAGTTTACAATTTTTTCAAAGTCAAACATTTAAAATATGGCTTTAATTTTGTAACAATGATTTTGTAGTTATTTAATTTTTTCAAGTTTTCTTCTGCTAAATGATCACATACATGTAGTGTAGAAATAAGTACAAATAAGTATTTATAATGTTATTTTTATTATTTATATTTATTTATTATATTGTTATTTTTAATTCGTATAAGTTATGACAAATTTGTTTGCACATGGAAAAATCTTTCAAGGTATCAATATTTAGATTTTAAAGCCTTTTAGTTCGACGATGAGACATATAAAATTATTTAGCAGCTAAAGCAATAATAGGTTTAAATAAATTATTTCATCAAACTAAAGTATAGAAAAACGTCGAAATAAAATATAAACTTATATTAGATTGTACAGTTTCAAAACAAAATTCTCAAATCACATGCTTTTCTGACCTAAAATTGTAGAATTTTTTATTTATATTTTTTGTTGAATTTGTTTGATTATTGTTTTTTAGATTATTTGTTTGGTGTGTTTTTTCCTGTTGAATGATGAGACACATTTTGTTCTAGAAAATATATAATTTTAAATAAATTTATACTTATTTCGACGTTTATTTATACTTTAGTTTATAGATAAACAAGTTAGATCAAATAATTTACCTTTTCCACTCGGATGCCACCACTCCGGCGGCAAAATTCATGTAAATCTCGGAATTCGCGAGTAGAAAGGGTTAAAATTATTTTTTTACGTGTTGTCTATACTTTCCGTGTATTTTTATTTTGAATAGACTATAAATTCTGAATGTAATTATTTAAAATGAAATAAAAACGAAGGAAATATAAGATCACCATAAGAAATCATATAAATTCTGAACATAAAAATTCTGAAAATAAAAACTAAGTTGATAAAAATTAACTGAATTAAAAATTCCAAGATGTATGAAAATATACATACATAACATAATAATAAAATTGTAAGATTTTTTGGTATGTAAATATATAAAATATAGTGATAAAATAAAACTTTTTGGTATATTTACTATATACCAAATAAAATAATAAACTTCAATGGTTACTTAATGATTTTGGCAACTTGAAACTGATGCAGCAATTTTATATTATTATTTGTAAGAAGTTAGTAAAACTTTTAATATTAAGTGATTTAATAATAAATAGCTATACAAGTCTGCAAATTAATTGAAGTTTTTACAAACACGCTAGAATATTTATTTGCAAAATTGTATTGGATTATTATGTATTATACTATTAAGTCACTTTTCAAAAAAAAATTTAAACGTCAAACTTTTTTAACTAATTGCTCACTTCAAGTGATAGAGAAAAGTGGTAACTATGAAAATTAAAATTATCGAGCTTATAAATATTTCTAGTATTTTACATAACAAATATATATTTTACTAACGTGAATGTATGTCTATCTATGATGTCTATCCATTATAAATTAAATACTGATTTATTCCAATTCGATTGTGCAAATAAACATAACTCGAATAGTCTGCACTCACCGGCTGAGAGGTCATCGGTCCTGACTGAAGAGGTTAGAATGCACTCCGAAACAAAATAATGACACAAGGGCAAAAACACACAACACTTGCACAAGAATTAAACACAATGTTATTTATTAAATAATATTTAATAATTTTGCGAATAAAAAATTTAAACAGAGCGATAACGCGGCTGCCAACGATTTGAAATCATAAACTGACCTACATATCTATTTTTAACAACCTAATTTACACAAATTTCGCACGCGAATCTGCTCAACGGCAGATTTCACCTATGGTAAAAAATGGCGAGAGCGTAACGTGGTGGAATAGACATACGTTGGGTATGAGAGATAGTGCAGTCGCACGTGTTGGTAGAAGACTGACGTTTGTCTTTGCTGTCGCCAGAATGAGACAACTTTCGGACATCTGCTGAAGAGTAACGAAACCATATTAACGGTTGGAGATTCAAAATCAACATAATTTATAAGTTTTTGCATATTAAATGTGATTTAAAACCTAACTATATCTCTAAAATATATTTTTATAAACCATGCAGTTGCTTACAAACTTATAGTATAATAAAATAAATAATCAAAAATTTATTATACATTTGTAATCGGCCTACTGATTTGTGATTAAAGCCTAAAAGCATAAAAGACAAAACATATGTTAATTAAATACTTATTTCCTCATTTTGTAATAAATATAATTTTATTTGGCATTTTGTAAATCCTTTCCAGATTTTTTATTACAAATTGAGCCTTCTATGTGATAAAGTTCTCTAATATATAATAACATATTTTAAACATTCAAAAACTATTTAGAACAATTGTGAATAAAATTTATATAGTCAACAATAACATAAGAAGCGTTTGAATATTCAAACTTAAAATAACTAAGTAATAACTTTTGTGCGGTAATTTTAAAAATACAAGCTTCAAATTCTAAATACCACACATTTATAAAATCTTATCTCATATAAAAACAAATAAATAATAATTGTTAAAAAGTCAAATATGATATATAAATATAATTTAGGAGCAGATTGTTCAATTAATAATTGTAATATGCTCTGCTTATATATTTAATTTGTTAATTTTGTATAAGCATACTTATATATTCTCAAAAATAAACTTAAAAAAATTGAGCAATCCACTCTGCATAACAAAAGCTTGGACTAGATTGTTTAATTAGATAGAAATAAATAAATTTGCTAAACATTCGAGTGTTAATAAATATTTACCATGAAATACATTTTATCCAATTCGAATTTGAATTTAGATAATACCCGTCATAATATTTTGTAAGTCAAATTATTAGTAATTTATCAGATTGAGAATATCATTATTATACAAACGAATGCATTACATTGTATTGCATTACTTTTATCTGAATAATTTTGAACACGCCCTGGATGATAGATTTTTTGTACTAGTTGGTACTTACGTGTACATAAGTTTATATACCTCAAAATCCTGCATTAAAAATGCAAATTCCTAATCACATTTCGGCATATACAAAAAAAATATGTATATACCTTGAGTATATAAGTTTTAGTAGCGATCTATAATACACATGATAATAAATTTGTAGTTATCTGATAAGTAATAATTAATTGATTCTCTATGTCTTCATAAATTTGACCACTGGTGAATGGAAAAATATTGTACTTCATATTTGAATTCCTTTTATAAGTGTGAAGAGTGCAGATTTGACAATTCGTAAAATAAAACATAAGCCTCGTTTGACACAACATTGCGAGCATTTATACTTGTAACCCTGAGAAAAGAAATAAAATAATAAATTTAAATTCTATATAGGAAAAAATATTAATTACAAATACCTTGAGTCATTATATTCATGCCATTCGTGAGTATATGGGTGTTTGCAGTAGGCTGTGTAATGACCAGAATATGTAGTACCTTAAAATAATAAATAGATCATAAACAGTTCAATTTATAATGTAATTGATAAAGAAAAGATATTTACCGCTATGGTTTGATACTGCATATAAGTCATAAACACATGGAGTTCCCTGATTTGCAGCGTATGAACTTAAATCAAGTTCATTCAATGGAAAATCAACAAGTGAATTTAGTTTTCCTCTAAAACGCTCCGTAGGCGAAAAACGTTTTAAATCTATGCCAAATTAAGGAATTTATGAATGCAGATTTTAAAAATTCAAGAGTGCAATAACATAATATTTTTATGCATCATTTATGTTAATAAATTATATATTTGAAAGGATACGAATAACCAAAATCTTAGGAAACTTTTGCACAGAAAATCTCTTTGTACATTTTCTTCTAACCTGACACTTTGAGCAAGTCTGGAATGTCAAAGGAACAATTAAGATAAATATATTTAAAGTACTTTTAATTAGTATCAACTAACTATTAACTTACTGGCTTTTCATCTCCATCTAGAACTTCTTCCTTTGTAAATAGTTCTAAGCACTGATTTAAACGTACTTGGCCTGTTCTTGATGGAATTGGCAAACTATTAAAATAAAATAAATATTTTAGTTCAAACATTTCAGTAATTGTGTGTCATTTACTTAGTATTAATGAAGCTATTTTATAATTACCTAAGATCCCAGAATGGATCGAATGTAACACTACTATGACCACATATTGTGCATCTTAAAGTACTTTTTAATTGACCAACGAACAGATCTACAATATGTGAATCTTCCATGCGAATGTAACGTGCCCAAGATTCTGCAGCTTTCTGAGAATCACTAGAAGAAAACAAATTTTAGATGAAAATACCCAACCATTTCTTAAAAAATTTATAATAAAATAGATTAGCTTTTATTATTATTAATTGCAATCAAAAATTAATAGTTTTATAGGCTTGTTGTGATTACTTCTTAATAACATGGCTTTTTTATAACTCTGATACTAATAACTCTTTATTGGGTGCAGAAAAAAATAGTTCAGAAAAAAGCTATTTACACTTGGGAACATATTGCTATCATATCTATATTAGTTTCTGATTGGAATCTCATAGCTCTAACCACTAATTCACAGAAAAGCTCCTGTATAATATATTTAACATTGTAAATTAATTATCAAGTAGAAACTGTTATACCTTAAACTATCATCAATCTCAGTATTGATTCCTCTGGGCCTTGTTTTAACTCGATTAATATCTTCATGCAAGCCTTCCAATAAGTATCTTAAGAATTCTTGGGCATCTTGCTGTGCATATCCCATAAATCTTGGAGCAATCTTTTGTACTTGAGATTTTAACAAACTGGTATTTACTACCCTACTAGATCCAGGTGCCCACAACTCACTAATCAAGGAAGAAAATGCTAAAATTGAGTACAAAGTTTAAAAAAAACTTATATTGACAGTAATAAAATTTGTTATTTCAAAAACCTTTGATCAAAGCTCCATTTGATCCAATCTCACCACTGCAGCTATCATTTTTTACATACTCGGTCAGCAGTCTTGTGTTGCTCAAGCATTGTAATACACTGTTCATGAAACATGTATTACCAATGTTCCTAAGTCCATTTAAGCCTTAAAACAAATTATTTATTAGAGATTATAAATCATTATCAACTGAAAGTTGATATTTAACAAATAAAATAAACCTGCAATATTTTTGTCTTGTTCAGCTGAATTAGATCTAGAATTGGGTGTTACAGGAAGAGTACTTCTAATATTAGTTAATCTTTCACTCCTTGATGATTCCTATAAAATAATACAGAATTTACTGGATTAGAACTTCGGATAGAATCAATAATTTATTTATAGGTGTACTTCAATGTTAAATATATGATTTCATATATAATCTATATATAGATTGCAACAGGTGTAAGAGTCAATTAACATACAAAAAGTATATACTCAATAAATAATGATAAAAATAGACAGAGTCAATATTACAAGATACATGCAAAATAATGAATATATATATTTATACAGACATGTATGATTGTTGTTATCAAGTCATATTAGAATTCTATGATCAGAATTAGTATGAAAATAAAAATTAGTTTAATATTAATAATGTTAATTCAAAACTCAAAGTTAGAAATCATAAGTAATTTGCTTAAGATGTTTCATATTGTTAAGACATCTCTATATATGTATTTGCATAAGCTTTAATATTTAGTTTCCAATATCACTGTTTTTAGCACTTATCTTCATAACCCATGTACGAGTACAAGTCCATTTTCAACTTTAAAGTTAAACATTTTAAGCAAACTATTCACGAGCTCAACTCTGTCATTTCCTAAGCTACTTACAGAAATATAAGTTTGATCAGTCTGATATGTTCTTCTACTAGTGGAAGGCACAGAGTTGTCTACACCTATTCTTTTCAATGAACTTTGGGCGGAACTCTTATGGTTCATATTCTCAACCTCAGAAGTGGATACATCATATTTGTTCATTTCTACATGATCTTTTCGTAAAGCATTGTGCAAACTCTTGGTGTCAATATTACTATTTAACTCATCACAGCATGAATAATCTAATTCGGAATCAATAAATTTTATATCATCAATCTTTTGTTCTTCAAATATTGAACTACTTAATGGCTTGTTAACAGGAATATAAGATGGTATGTCTGATGTGTGATTTGTAGGGGATCTTTTAATTAATAAGTCCTGTGATGAGCTTAAATCGATATGCTTTGGTTTTTCTAAAGTACCTGCTAACTGATCCTTTTTTTTATTGTCACATTTATTTTCAACGTCTTTGGTTTTGACATCAAACGCCTTTTTGAAAAAAAAATTTTCATCTGCTTTGACATTATTTGTGAGACTACTAAATTTAGATTGTTTCTCAAAAATAACAGCTTTAGTTATGTCTAGATCTCCATGTAATTTTTTACTATCAATATCCTTGTTGTTATTGTGTTTTAATTCAGAATTGCTATCAGGATTTTGTTTTACATTAACATTATTTAATTCATCTAGTCCTACATTTAAATTTAAATTATTGCTCTCAGATACTTTGGCGTTATCCTGTGATTTTTTTATGCCTCGTTTCAAGCTGCCTGTCTTGTCAGTATTCTCTGGTTTTAGAATTTTTTCATCTTTTTTGAGTATTTTCTTGAGACTTCCTTGAGTATTTAATATATCAGAATTTGATTTTGTTGACACAAGTTTCTTAGTTTTACCTAAATTTGTCCATGCAGCATAACTGTAATTTTTACTTTGTGGTGAACCAAACTTTTTGCGTATCTCGGCAACGCTGCTGCCAACTTTGTTACCATTATTATCAGAATCAATGTCGTTATGAACTTTATTATAAGATTTAATTTTTTTCACACTATTGTCATGTTGAAGGGTTGAAACTTTAACTGGAGTATTGTCAAATTTTAAAGCTACATCTTTTGTTTTGCTAGTTAGCTTCTTACTTACATTATTAGATTTCGATAAATTAGAAATATCATATTTGGATATTGAATCTAAATTATCTGTCCATAGCCTGATGTCTGGGCAAGATTCCATCTTATTGTCATTTCTCCTTTTGGTCACAATGGGTTTTTTCGATTTATTAGACAAAGGATCCTCTTTCAGTAACTTATTAATATTATTTTTCCTTTCACTTAAATTTTTAGTACTAGTACGATTCGGTTCAGGAATGGTTCGATACACAGGCTTAGTTTTAGTACCAGAATTAGTAAAATTATAAGAGTTATATTTGTTAGTAGAAGACAATGAATGGTCAGCATTTGTTTTATTAGTTTTAGTCCTGTTACATTTAGTATTATTGCAAGTTACATTTAATGCATTAAATTCTGGGGTTATTGTACTTTGACAAATTTTGCAATTTACCTGTGACTTTTCTTTCCTGGGGTCTGACAGTAACCTTGATCGTATCAGCTCGCATTTTGGGACATAATTTGCAGGAGAGTATTTGTTAATAATATCTGCAGCTGATGTGGCCATCACACGATTGTAAATAGCATCATTCCTTAAATTAGATGTATCATTCACAGAATCTCTTGTTCTCGATTCTGATCTCCTGTATCTATTGGTGTCCACAGAATCAGAAATGCCCTTAGAGTATTTTTGGTAACTGCTGTAAGTCTTCTTAGGGTCGTCATATCGATAGGAATCCAATGTTGATGAAATTCTCGAATGTGTCAAAACTCTAGGAGTAATATATGAGGATGTACAATAAGACCTGTCTAATGTTGATGATCTATAGGTCCCAGAAGGTGGCAGGGACGAGCCACTGGTTGCGGAATAGCGCCCCGATATGACAGGCATTTTGGATCACAAATTTGTGTAAAAAGAATTCTGTAAAATCACAAAAACAAATTCCGACATGAAGTAAAAAATGGCGTAAATGATATACTATAACTTAATTAACATAATTTTGATGCACTAATTAAATAAAATATAAAGAAAATTCTGATTTTGCTATAAATAATCACGACAGTCAAATATTTTATATAGCACCATCATAAAATCCAATGTAAGTACCTTCAGCATTCAACTAGGAATTTAGCGACCATCATAGTTCTTGTTAGGTTAATATAAAACATATGTTGATATCGATATTAACTTATTTGATAATTTTAAATACAAATTGCTTGAAATTTGCACATGATGGAAAATTCACAAATGTCTGTTCGCTCGTGTAATTATAGAATTCACAAAATGACGTCACCAGTAAGCTTTTGGCATGTATTGTGTGTGTTGCCAGACGTAAATAACATTTTCTCATGAAATAAGAGAATCTAATGTGATTCTTATAAGGACATAAAAAGTGATCTACACATACATGTTGGAATCTAGCAAGAATGCTACTTTCTAGGCAGTAATATTTGAAATGTATTAGTAGAATTTACATATGAAATCAAATGAATTTAAAAATAAAACTATCAAAACAACATATTTATTTAGAAGCTATATGTAGCTAAAATCTGCTAATAAGTTAGCTACAAAAACACGAATTTGTATGCCAACATATAAAAAAAAAAATGTCTTAAAATGCCGACTTTAGCTTCTTCCTCCTCTGGTTTACAATCTTCTTTCACTAACTTTAAAATCGCTGCCCGGTGCACACATTCCACGCATAAATTTCTCCTTTCAAGCAATTGACCTATAAAATCTATAATCAACAGCCGACATATTCACTGAGGAAAATCACACTTTAAAACCTGTAAGATACACATGTCTTTATAGAGTTGACAAAAATCAATATGAAACTTGACTTATTTAGTGCGGTTCACCCAAGGTTACTTATCACAAGCGACCTTATTATATATTTCTATGAATAAAGAGCTATAATTTTTTAAATTCAAATTATTTTTTAACGTAAAATGTCATCGTGAGGAAATCTCCTAGGCCGCCTTCGATAATATCTCCTTTGTTTACGGAACCAACACCTTGCGGGGTTCCGGTCATTATGAGGTCGCATGGTTCCAATGTCATGAATTTGGAGCAATAACTTATCAATTCGGGGATCTGAAAAATAAAATCAGTAATAATATAAACTTATTTAGAATCAAAATCAAAGTCATAAATCAGAAGCCAACTAAATAGAGCTTCATCAGTACATGGTAAAGATTTTGTTGCATTTAAATATTGCACAACTATTATCTTAGGCTTTACGACTTTACCCAATAATTTTTGCTAAATTATTTAATTTCCTTTTGATCTTTACTATTACTAATTAAGAGTCTATTATCTACTAATTAGGAGTCTATTATCTTACTGTAAATATTAAATCAGCAGTAGTCGAATCCTGTCTGGTCAAACCATTGACTTTACACCAAAGTCGCACATCATGAGGATTTGGCAATTCTTGTGTTGATACAAATCGACTCACAGGATTGGAAGTATCAAAACTTTTACTTAAGGCCCAAGGCAACCCATGTTTCATTGATTCTGACTAAAAAAAAACATTTATTCTCCAATTAGTAGAATATATACATTAATCTCCTAGATAGAATCTCACCAGATAACAAGCAGCAGTCATGTCTAAGCCAAGACAGTATCCTCCCACATAATCCATTGCTTCTTTTTCGCTAACATTTTTGCATCTTTTTCCAATAATGACTCCTAATTCAATTTCATGTTTGACATCTTTAAAATGAGGATTTAACTGTAACATAATATATTTTTCAGTTTCATATTTTAAATAAAATAAAATTAGCCATCCTTTACCTCAATTTCTTGCCCTTCTACTATGTAGCAAGATGTTGGCTTGGTGAAAATTACAGGAACTGATGGACGAGATCTTCCTGGAGGTAATGCTGATCTACAAAAAAAATTGTATACATATATTAGAACAAATTTAAAAAAAAACAATATCCTTTATCATGATTTTAGAATTTAAATATCAATACTAATATAACAATTATACTTGTAATTGCTTGAAGCAACGATGATCTTTCTTCCTTGCCGAATAAACATCAATACAACAATATCATTTTCATCTTAATGAATAAAAAAACTTCGAATTTATTTCAAAACTAGACAGGTATCCAAAATTATGACAGCATAGTGTACTGAGATTTTTTATAAAATTTATGGGTATTACAGGAATATATTTTTTTGCCAGGGTTTGAGATTAAATATATTTATCAGAAATTATTTAAAAAATAATTAATTAATTAATCATGAATTATTTTTAAAAAATTTACTTACTTTTTATTTTATTTTATTTAAGTTTAGATTAATCGTTTTTTGTTTGAAATTAAAATATAAAAAAGATATTAAATAAACTGTTGTTCATATTTGATTAAATTTTGATCCACACACATAAATACACACACACAAAAATACTCTTCTTTTATCTGTGAATACACACTTATACTTCTAATTTTGATATCAAAACGATTCAGAATTACTTTAACCGTGATAAATATAAAATTATGGTAAATTGTATTTTTTTGGCAAAAACAATTGTTTTGTTCAAGTTCTTGTTCCAAAAGTTAATTATAGCATTTTTTATATAGTTTTGCAGCTTGTAGAATTAATATGTATAGACATGCATACATATTTATATAATCTTGATAGTGTTTTCGACATTGAAACAATAAACGTTAACGTTTTTACAATTGTGATTGCATAAGTAAATAAATTGTATATATTCATTTAAATATGTACTTGTAATTTAACCCGGCTCCAATAATAACTTTTCCATTTTTCACAAAATTTTGTAATTGTGCACTGGTCATTTTATAAAGTATTTGCCTTCACTTGTAATGGAATACTAAAACATGTATGTGTTGTTGATAGGAAAATTCTTGATATGTACTTTTCGAATAAAATTATCAAGAATGACCTCTAAATAAAGATCATGCGATGATTTAAAGAGATTAATTATTATTCAATCATATATGGAAAATATAATATATGATATAACAGTGATTTTTGATAACAGTAATAATCTGCAACAGTTTTATTATAAAAAATAGAACGTAATTAAATGATACAAAATAAATGTTGCAGTTTTGATTGACAAAAATAAATTAATAAAAAATTGCGATTTTTGATACTTTAAATATAGTGTAGAAGCAGCAATACAATCGCGGTGTTTGCAAGTTCAAAAATAACTTAAAAATTATAATTTCATTGAATAATTATGAATACATGTAATAAATATACATCTTGATTGATTTTATGTTAAAAATATACCTATTTGATACAATAAGCAGCCATTTGTCGAATTAAATGATGGAATAATTTTTTCACTTCTTCATTGTTTCGACACTTTATTTGTGCCATCATTCAGCAAGAACAAAACACAAAATTAAAAAAAAATCAATTGAACATTTCAATATAAACACTGAAAATTATATTTAAATAGTTATAAAATTAAAAATCATATTATTTGAACTTTTTTGACAGCAACGATGCTTCCGATTTATTCAAATCGAACTGAAGATAGTGCTGAATGATGACACAAATCAAATGTCGAAACGTTAAAATTAAAAAAGTGGTAAAAGTGCATTTTAATGCAATGAAGTTTCTGCTAATTACTTCATATATATCTATATATAAAATTTATAAATTATATTTATATTTTTTTATTGAAATATGCATAATTAAGAATACAGATCGATTTTTCTCGAAACTCCAAAGTCCGAACGAAATCATGCATGCCGTAATAGTTAAAGAAATGTTGCAATTCAATTATTCCATGCGCGCTATCGTCCAAGCGTGCCAACATAAATCGAATAAAAACCAATCAAAATTATACACGTATGCGATGCATAAGTAAAAACGTAAATACAAATGCTTGTCATCGTAAATTATCAGATTAGTAAACGGTATCATTGGAAGATCGAATAAAAGTTATATGTTTTAAAGAATATCAAGTGTAAATTAAACGCGATTTAAATTTATTGTAACATCAAAATGGTGACTTTGACATCTTTTATAAATACATTCAACAATAAACTGTAAGTATGGATTAGTTAATTAGTGTTAATTGCGACTAGATATAATGAAACAACCAGGTGTAATCAGCACTTTTTAAAATATAATTTTTGGAGCCTTTGGCTGGCTGTCAGACTTATGAGAAACTCCCTTAAGTTCTATTAAATTCAAGGACTACAAATGGCTGTTTACAATTACTTAATCATTTTTGGTATATCTTTTTCAACCTTTTAACGTATATCTTTTTCAACCATTAACGTTTTAGAACTATCACTGAGAAATTCTCAGGGTCAAGTTGAAACCTGATTGTACAACTTGATTAAATTTAATAAGCCCATTATAGAAAACTAATAATGGGATTTTTGAGTCTGAACATAATGTTTATATATAAGATTACTATTCTGATGAAAAGGATACATTCTGAGGATACATTTTGTACAAATACATGATTGATCAAATATTGATGTATTGCATTTGCAAATACTTAGCTTTCATCATTATCTACTGCATATTATTTAGTTACATCTTGATAATTGCAACAAAATAAATTCAATTACGATATTATCTACTTACCATTTATTCAGGGAAGCGCCAGTCCAGCAACATCTGAAAGGCGTCTACGGGTGTCTGGCAGCTACAACATCATTAGCTAGTATAGGGGCTTACAGTTTCCTTGCAGGATGGCTCTCAGCAGGATTGTTGCCAGCTTTGGGAGCCCTAGGATTAGGCTTGGGCTTGATGATGACCTCTCCAGATGCCAAAAATTTTAATATGAGACTAGGAATGCTGTTAGGATTAGGATTCTTGTCAGGTATTTATCATTTATAACCCAATTATCAAATTATTTATAGTTTTTTATAACTTCTTGTTGTTCCTTAGGTTTAGGATTAGGACCCTTACTAGCTCATGTGGCCCAAATTAATCCAAGTATAATAACAACTGCATTATTTGGCACTACTTTAGTATTCGTGGCATTCAGCTTATCAGCAATATTTGCTGAACGTGGAAAATGGTTGTTCCTGGGTGGAATTATTGTCAGTGTTTTGAATATGATGTTCTTCTCCTCTTTGGCAAATATTTTCTTGCAAAGCACTTTGATATACCAGGTAAACCATAATCCAAAATAACATAATAATTAATTGAATCCAGCAACTGATCAAGTTTTGAATTGCAGGCTCACCTTTATGTAGGATTATTTGTTATGTGTGCTTTTGTCCTTTATGATACACAAGCTATTATTGAAAAATTCAGAGCTGGAAGCCGCGACACAGTTGGGCATGCTTTTGACTTGTTCCTTGATTTTATTGGAATCTTCAAACGCCTTCTTATCATCTTGAGCCAGAAGGTAATTCTGTTAATTTACAGTATTGTGAAATTAATTTAATTAAGAAAATTTAACCAGAAAAATTATTATTACAGGAAGAGAATGAGAAGAAGAAAAGACAGCAATAAGTTCTTAATTTAAGCACCACATTATTTTAATATTTAAAGAATACTATTATATACATATTATACATGGATTAGATAAGTCTTAAGTTGTTGAATATCATTATATTTTCAAATTTATTGCATTTATTATTTATTAAACATTTTCATTTTTATTTCATTAAAATTAGATGTAAATAAATTTGTTAAATAAAAACACCCTCCATTTTTAGAAGTGGTACTCACTAAATTAGTTTTTTCTGATTATATACTATACCTTTTTATAATACTTTATATTAATTATTCTTAATCAAGGATATACTCTTTTAAACAACATTGAAATCTGAATATTTTAAAACTGCCTGAGTTTACCTTACCTTTTGAGCCTTCTATATGACATCTTACTTCTTTTTATCCTTGTATCTTCTCAAAGTAGTTAATTATTTTTAGTCAAAAATAACTATAAACAAAAATAGTAAATCTTTGCTTCTGAAAGTTATTAATATAGAAAGATACCTCTCTAAAATAAACCAAAAAGGTAATTATAATATGAGAATTAGGTCTATTATAATATTATATCATTTCAGCTTGAAACAGATAAGTATATTCTACAATAAAAATACATACATCTTAAATCTAATTTAATGCTATTTTATGTTGAAAACGATGAAATATGACACATATCATAAAGTTTCTGGATATATTATATAATGCTTAATACCAAGCATTTATTTAGTCTCATGCATTTTGTTTCATGGCGTTTTTAACATATTTATTCATTAGATCACATTGCTTTATTAAGCGAAATCTTACTTTAATCAGTTTTGAGTATACTATCAATAGAGGATTTTAATTACAATCAAATTTGGAACAGAATTAATTAAGACTTCTTTCTGTTGACAGAAACACTCGCGCCAAATATACTTAAGCAAAAGATTCCATCTATGCAGATATCAACCACAAAAAGCATTCTTAGTTTTACATAATAGCTAGTAATTTGTTTGCGTTTAATGGATTTCGAAAAGGATTACATTATTTTTTAAATATATGATTTATATATATTTTAGGATATAAATGGAATGGAGGGATATTATATTTAAGTGTTTTTATTACGTATATCGTTGCAATTTTGATTAAGACCTATTTAAGTATTCTAATCCCTAATTCACTTATACTGGAGTTGGCAAGTCTTCAAAGAATTTCAAAATAAGTGCTCATTATGCAAAAATATCTTAATTTTTTACGAAATTGTTAGATTAAAAAGCAAATTCTTGCTTGACTCATGGAAGTTAAAGACATAATATGTACAAATATTGATAATAAATAGAATAATTTTAGTGGCAGACATTATTATATCACGAAAGCATTTACATTATCAGTTTGTATTTGGAAAAACCTGATAATGTGTCTAAATTTGTAACAAAGTGAAGGATATAAGCAATTTAATGTATTGTCCAAAAGTTAATAATATATGAATGGCGATGGAAAATATATCACAATCAAAATATATACATATAGTATACTACTCTTGCTGAAATATTTCATTAAATTTACACCTATTGCGATCTGCAATTGTCAGAGACAAGAAATAATATAATATTACTAAATGGGAAGTCGAAATCATTATATGTATATGTATATGCATATGCATATACATATATGCCATTTACTTACAATTAAAATATACCTAATATTAATTTTTATCATTTTTGTTATCAGATCTAAATAACCAGGGCTTAATTTTTATATATAATCAGATCATTACAGTCAATTTAATATATTTAAAGCAAAAGTTGTATGTAAATATTCCAAACACTGTTGTAAGTGCCCCCTCAAATATAAAAATGTGTTTATATAATAAAGTGCATTTTGTTATCCAACAATTTCATATTTAAATCATTTGAAATTATGGACTTGAATCAAAATGTTTACAAAAATTGTATTTGGTATTCTTTTTATATCTATACGCTTTCTATTTATAAACTTAATGGGACTTTAAAAAATTAAAATTTTGATAATCATATCCATCATATCAGCACATATTTTTTAAGTTTAGCCATATTTAATATATAAAACTATTTTGAGGTATTTTACGTATACATAGTTTACAATAAAACAACAATCGTATACCTGTTTGGAAAATAAAAATCTTAAAAATATAATTTCTGTTTCAGAATCAGTATACAAATTAAGTGGATCTCAAGATTTGTTATTTAGGACTAGAAAATCGTATATATAAAAATCCAAAATAAATGAAAACTTTAAGACAAGCTAAATTAAAATATAGAGTTTGTTAACATCAAGTTAGTAATCATCCCCATACGATCTTTAAAATAAATGTTATGAATATTAAAAATGTTATTTGTTGACTAAATCTGAGTTTGCTTCAAACATAAAAATTAAATTTTGAGAAAATTTATTGAATGTACATGCAAATAATAAAAATAATGTCTCGCAATATAAGATAGTAAAAACTTCAATTCTTATTAACTAGAAGTTAACAATATTATACAAAAAGCTTAGCATTTTAATAAAAATTATTGCTAGCCCCACATGGTTTAATAAGGTAAACTGAAATTCCTCAAACAGAAATAAATATAAAATGAATTTTTAAATTTTGTGGCGCTAGCAAGTATGTTAATAATAATTATCATACCACAATTCAATGGTTATTTTCAGTAGGTATACTGTTTTGAGATCTATCAATAACCAGACTATCCTGGCTGTCCTCCTCATCAGAACTGCTACTCAAAGCACTAGGATCTATTCTCTGGTCTAACATTCCACTAAGATTATCAGGCCAAAAGCGTTTTGCTGAACCAGCCTTCTTGTGTTGAGAAACTGATGAAGTCTGAGCTGAATCTAGAAAAATATACATAAATAATATAACATGGACTAAAACATAGTATTCAGGAGAAATGTAATAAATGATATTGTTTAACTAAACATGCACTATAATTATAAACTCAAAAATAGTCATATTTAAAATACAAAACGTTTATAAAATTATTCTATATATATATCTAAAATTTAAGAATCAAACTGGCAATATATTTTAGTTTCAATGTAAATTTATACATGCATATAAAAAAACTGGAGTCCTAAATGTACATTATGGGAATTCATATAAATCATACCACTTATTTTTAAATACTTTAAATGAAAAATAAATTATATGTATTCTAAGATGTATAATATAATGTACTCTATATAATTATTTGAATCTAGAAAACAATCCTAAATTAATTACTAATTTATGTTTTGTCGGAGAAGTCACACATATTTTTGGGTCTTTTTTTTACTAACTTCAAATATTAACTATTATACCTGTAATTAAAACCAATTATTTATTTATTGACCCCTATTTTGAGAACCATATTTCTTTTAATTACTCTACATAATAGCCTTATCCTTTCCAACTCTAAAATACTATTTTGAACCTCTACCTACAATTTACTTTCATGTTAAAAATCAACATCTTAATCTTACTATGAGTGAATCTGGTTGTCACAGGTACTTCGTTTATTTACAGAATTGAAAACTTAATCTAAATCCTCTTTAATTATATGGAAAACTTGGCCTATTATGACTATCTAAACACAAACTATTCAAATGTAATAGTTTGATGGAAAATTGTCATTGATACCAGGGCTATAATGTCCAAAAGATCCTAAAATATCCATAAAAACATATTTGAATTTAAATTCCGGAAAATAAAACATAAAAGATATTTTGGAAAGTGTAAAATAAAATTTAGCCAAATTTTTATTACCAGCTCTTGGTGACTGACCATCAGTAGCTTCAAGCATAGGTTGCAAAATTCTTCTTCTCGCATTGATAAACCAATTATTAACTTGTAATAGTGTCAAATTTGTTTGAGCAGCTATGTTTCGCTTTTCATCTTCCGTTGGATAAGGATGCTAAAACAATTTTTATATTAGTTTGGAGCACTTGATAAAAAAAACTATGGTATATATAATTTATTTCTCTTACAACAAGGTGTTGGAATAGCCAAGCTCTCATTACACTAGTGGCTTGCTTAGGTAAAACTCCTCGCTTTTGGCGTCTGGCACTTGTTCCACTCACACTCTCACCACCGCTCTCCTGATCATCTGTACTGGGCATTGGTGACAGTTGACCTGCAGATAAAAAAATAATTATTATAAATACAATTTCTAAGTTTTTGGCCCTTGATGCACATTGAGATTTTGATTATATATACCTGAGTAAGCGTCTGCTCCTGGTGGCATAAGCCCAGCACCAATTTGGCCAATAGGTGTAGTCCCCAAAACTATGCCAGCGCTATCAGATCCTGACGCTTGTAAGGCTGGACTGGTAGAGTTTTCCATGTAAGCAGCACCTTAGAATAAAAAACTGAGATGTATATGATTGCTCCAAAGGATGCATAATGTAAAAAAAAAATATTATTAATACCTGGATTGGCACAACATTATTATAATCTGGTTCTGAATTAGCATATCTATTATTTTGATCAGAGCAGTTTGTAGGAACATAATTGAAACGCGTTCTCTTCCGTATAAGTGTGACTAGGTGCATTCAATGACTAAAAAAAGCCAAAATGAGAATAATAAAATTAAATATTAAAATTTAAATATATACCTGTGATGGACTATTATTTAATTGTGTAGGACTATTTGAATTTGAACTTCCAACGTTGTTGTTATGCTCAAGAGGACCCATTCCGCCTACAACATCAAAAAAATAATAAAAGCAAGGTAAATTTAAAATAAATATTAATGTAAATTCAAGATACCATTATAATCGGCTCGTAGCAAGTTTTCTGACTGCATTTTGCCTCGTAGGCAGGCAATATATCGGCTCAAAAATCTCGACATAATTCTTGAACTTTTTCTAATTCTAGTAAGTGTATTCGGAGGACTTGTAGAGCTTTGATCATCTGTAAAATTAGACACAAACTAAGTTAAAATGTACTAAACCATAAATTAAAAATTATGTAAGTATAAAGAGTGCTTATATATTT